ATTGCATCACAAAAAAATATTAAGACTAGCATAAGAAATTGCATTTATGAATATAGACATTCTCATAAAAAATGAATTGCATAGTATTTAACTCGAAGTCGCTAAAAGATTGTCAAAAAAGTATATGGCTTCCTCAAAAATGTAGCATTACTTCAATATAAAGAAAATCATGTTACAATTTGAAGACATACAAAGAGACCCATGTGTACCAGCCAGGGCAATTTAAAAATTTCTGCACACCTTATCAGGCAGTCAGTCTTTATGACTGCCCTATGTTTATTTCATGCCCTATGTCTATGCCCAAAGGCGTATCTATTTCGGTAGCATGTTGATGAAAAAATATGAATGTTCACATGTTTTAATATAGAGTCGTCAGTATAGTAATAGTCATTCCAAAACGAACAGCATGAATTAAAACATGGTGACGAACTTTTAAAAGTAAGTCTTCAAATGCTTTTCACAATTCTGTAGCTGGAATTAACAACTTGATTGCAATTCCAACAATCAGTAGATCTATTATAATAAGTAGTAACAATTAGAGAAAATCATCTATTATCGTTGGCATCTCTGTATAATAACTTTTTAACCAGTATGACCAGTTTTGATGACTCTATATTAAAACTTGTCATCTCTAACTCATTTTCTTACATTGGTGTACTATAAAGGAATTAAGAATATACGGAAAACGATTACAGTAACAATATACAGTTAAAGGAAAAAGCATTCATACATTTCCACTAGGTTAAACATTAGTACAAGCATATGAAATTTTTCCATAAATGGTTTTATCTTTGCAATGACGACCACTAATAAAATCACTAGATTATAAAATTAGCCTTTTTTCAAAATCAAACCTGCAAAAACGGAGTTATTACAATATCAAAACACGCTGAAGCTATCCTATAATAAAATCATTCTCGCCATTTTGTAAAATCAAATTTTTGTAAAGTATATTTTAAAAGTTAACTTATCTCATATATTTTTTTTCAAGTTTCGAAATATGTCTAAAAATTGTAGAATATAAATAACAAATTTGAGAGTTAAAAAAATATAGAGGGGGAATTTAAAAGAATCTAGATAAAATTATTTATGAATAAAGAAAAGTTATGGAATGTCTATCATCATTCATTGTAATTGATCATCAGTCAATCAATCATTCAATAAGGCAAATCTATCTTCAAGAAAAACTAACTTTAAAGCAAAGAAATATAGCAAGAAACAAAAATATTTAAAAACTTTTAAACCATGCTGAAACCATGTTCAATATTTTGAAACCTTTCTGTAAATTAAAAAATTTGTAGTTCAGGTTTAATTAAAATTTCAAATATAAATTCAGTAAAAACGAAATTATAGTAATTAACTTAAATTTTAGTTAATTTGTAAAGTTTAAACATGACACATTCTCCCTTCTTCTTCTTTGCTAGCGCAACTGCCCCTTGCAGGTCTTGGCTGCCTCAACAGCTGACAAACGCCAGCGCCTCCTATCCATGGCAACTCCCTTCCAATTTCTAATCTTGAGTTTTTAAATCATTTTCGATGTCGTTGAGCCATCTAGTAGGGGGTCTGCCTCTGGGAAGTGACCCTTCAAGTATAGATATTTCGATTTATAAAATAAAATGTTCTCAGAATGAACAGGATTTTAAAGAGTGGTGGTGTAAATCTAGTCTTCTTAATAGTCAACTGAAAGAGTGGTATACAGCATAGGCAGGAATATTTCAATTCTAATCTACGGTACATATCACAATCAATGAAATATAAGAAATATTTAATTTAGATTAAATAAGACACCTGATTTTACTTGTAAAGTAAGTACAGTAGTAAGTACAGATTATCAGCTTTAACCGAACTATCAAACATTTAAAGATTTTTTTTTTTGTTCTAGTTTATTTTTCATTTTTAAAACTACCCCCGAAAAAAATTCTAAATTTTATCTTCCAAACACTTAGGAAAACGAAATCCAACATTATCACTCCCTTATCTTTGTCAGTGTATCGACACGAGATTAGCGATGAAAAATGAAAGTTAATATCGTCAATAAGGAAAATGAATCTAAAGAAGATGAAGACAGTGATTATGAAAATCAACATATAGAAACATCTCATACAGATGGACTAAAAGCTATCGAAAGTGCTATTGAATATACAGAACAACAAGAAAAGGAGACACCAACCTTCCTGTTATCCCTAAATAAATGGCAAAACATAGACTGCAGCAAAGCGCCAAAGTAATGTAAAACAAAAAATGATTAAGGACTTTTTTTTAAGTAAAAACTCTTTAATTTTCATAAAGTATGCTCTTTAAGTGTTTTTAAGTAAGCTTTTTAATTATAATATGAAATGTATGAGGTGCACTCTTATAAATTTTGTATTTGTTAAATTGCATTTATACCTAACTCGCATAATTTTATATTGCATATGTATTGTATACTGATACATTTTGTCGAATTACGTGGATTACTATTTCATGTAAATAAAATCTAAGTTACTTGGAAGAGTTTTGAAATTTTCACATGATCAACTAATAAAAAATTAAATTTTTACAAAGTAAAGAGATCAAGATCATCATAAAATATAATTAAAATTTTGAAACAGTTTTTAAAAATAAAAAATTTTTTAAAACCTAATTAACAGCAATTCTTTGATATCAACAAATATTTCAGCAATACATTTTGATGATTTTACCATACTTTTTCAATATGGAGAAGATTCTTGTGAGAAATCGCTATGGATTCCTTAATGAAATAAGAAGGAGGGGTGAGAAACTTATGGTCATGAAAGGTCACTTTAATAAGTATATAGTCTCTTAAAACAGGGCAAAATGTTTTTCTTTCTTTCGAAAAATATACATATCTTTCTTCATTTCCCTTCAAAATCTTATAAAAAATCAGATACTACTGTTTACAACAGAGAACAATGAAAATATATAAAATAAAGGCTTTTTTCTGACAAATTTGGCCATAGATAAACCTGTCATACTACAGTAGTAGATTAAAAGGCTATGACATCAAAATGAGCATTTCACACACTTAGAAATTCACATTGTATTTGAATAACTTTTTAGATTTGACATATAAATGAAACGTAATTAACTAGTTCGGAAATATGTTCAGCAAAAATTTTTATCTTACATTTAAATTTATAAAGCACCTAAACTTACCTATTTTATTACATTTTCTGAGCAAAAAATTAATTAATATTATAAAATCAAACAAACCGATGTAACATAAATGTCAAATATTACATGTATTCAACAATTTCAATTGTACTGTAGAACTTGTATCTAGTATTTAGAAAAGTAGTAATTTAAATATGAAAGTATATGCAAGAAGTTTATCAGATGAGTTATCAGTAACAAAAATTAAAATTTTTAATCATATTGAGCTCTTTTGAATTTGTAAACTAACATCATAATTGTTAAAAATAAGCTAAAATTTTTATAGCGCAAGGAAGGAAGTTTTCAATAAAACTTGCTGAACACTAAAATCATAAAAAACAATTACTGAACAATAAAATTTGAAAAGTAAGTAAAAAACAAATAGTGCAAGCAGAACATTTAGATGATAAAACTATCAAACGTTTAATATTGTGTTTTAATAGGTGATTGATAGTAAAAATTTGAATCCAAGCAATACATTTCATAAAGAAAAGAATCATTTTTTCAAGTTCAATAAAAATTATTTTAAAAAATTGACTAGATTTCATTTTGAAAACTTAAAAAATATCTATTTGAATAAAAAATAGATTTGGAATGTGTAACCTAGAAAATACATTCAGTTATATGTATACTTATAACTGGTAATAAACTAATAAACAGTTTCTAATATATATATAACAGATTTATATACAAAACAAGAATATGAAAAATTTAGAAAAGGATTTTGATTATTATACATTAGAAATGCAAATTCTACGAACCTAAAAATACTGATTTAAAATTCTAAAACAAGATAAAAAAGTTTACTTAATGCCATTTAAAATTATATCTTCATAACATGTCTAAATAAAACAATAAAACTTTGCAACCAAAACGCAAAATGAAAATTTTTTAGAAGCTTGTGTGTGTACATATATATATATTGAAAATAAAATAAAACATATAACTAACAAAAAAAAAAATAAACGGGATAAAATTATTTTAAAAATGTTTGGAATAAAGCTATATAAAATTTTTTAAATGAATCTCTAAATCATTGTATCATTATGACAACTTAATTTTTCGCTCCAAACAAGGAAGTAAATAGCAACATATTTGAATTTCTAAATGTAAGTTCAAATACTAAATTTTAAGTATTTTAATATTCCAATTTTTTAAGTATTAAAGACTTTTTTTCATGCTATTCACTTTTGAGAATAAGAAATATTTTTTTCCCAATAATAAACAAATTATTAGAAAATTTTTTGGAGTCACATTTTTTTTAGACTAAGTTGTTGAATAAAAAAAGCATGTTTTTTCTGTCAAAAGTTTTTATGAGGTCTGAAAAAAATGCTTGGTTATAAATTAAAAAAAAAAATTTTTTTTTTTCTTTTCTCAAATCTGGAATTTACAAAATTCTTTCTTCAAATACTTAATTTAAAAAAAGAATTTGATATAAAAAACATAGAAAATTTTAATTTTTGTAATTTTTTTAAAGAGTTCAAATGTTTCATTTTGTTGAAGTGTCCAACAATGCTATGAAATCAATAAATATTTATTTAGCTCTTTTAATTAAATCTTATTTCATTACTTTTGAATACTAAAAATACTTCACTAAAAAATGCATACAAACAATGAACAGAGTAAAATGTTAAGAGGATAAATGTTAGAGGATATTGCAGGAGAAACTTCTCATGGGAAATTCTGATTCACCTCCATTGTTAATTTAAAATCTAAAGTTTAGAGAAAATTGAGTTCAGACAAACCCAAAATAAACCTATAAATTTTAAATCCTGAAAATTAAAAAAATAAATAAATCATTATGCAAACAAATTATGGCCCTAATTGGGGCCCTGGGCAAACACTTCTTTGGGGGCCCCCTCAGTTTCAGTAATAACATAAAACTGACGGATTTTACACTGTACAGATATTTTGTTTAAAAACAATTTCATTAATGAATGAAACCTAAAATAAACTTTTAATTCGACTTGGGGGCCCGGGGCAACTGCCCCAGTCTCTGAATGGAGGTGTATCAGAATTTGTCATGAAACGTTTCTGTTGCGGAATAGTGTCATCTTAAGTTAAAACACCTCAGTGAGTTAGTTAGTAGTGGGCAACTAATAAGTTTCTCTGTATCTGGAAAGCAATTTGAAATTAATTCGTGATGTTGATTAAGTTTGATTATTTTTCATAGATCAAACTCTTGTTTTAGTTGGAAACGGATTCACAGTGGAAAGAGGTTTTCCTGAAACTGTAGCACTAATATGGTTTAAAAAACTTTTTTTTTCTCTTTAATAATAAATAAATTTTTTCAATTAATTTAATTTTAATTTATTTATTAATTTTGTAATTAATTTTAACTTGTTATGTTTTGAACACTTAAAACATTTAACTTACAATCACCCAAAAATGCTTACGGACAATGTACAATGTAACCAGTTAAGTTGAACAACTCAGTAAGTTAATTACTTGTGGTCAACTTGCATGGATTCCACTATATCTGGAAAGCAATTTGACATATGAACTACAAAAATGCTCAAAAGCAATGTAACCTGTTAAGTTGAACACCATAATAAGTTGATTACTTGTGGTCAACTTACATGGGTTACAATGTATCTGGATAGCAATTTGACACGAAAAACTACAAAAATGCTCAAAAACAATGTAACCTGTTAAGTTGAACACCATAATAAGTTGATTACTTGTGGTCAACTTACACTGGTTCCACTGTATCTGGATAGCAATTTGACACATGAACTACAAAAAGGCTCAAAAACAATGTAACCTGTGTTAAGTTGAACACCATAATAAGTTGATTACTTGTGGTCAACTTTCACTGTATCTGGATAGCAATTTGAAACTGATTTCCGATGTCTACTATGTTCTCTTATTTTTCATAGAACCAACTCTTCTTTTAGTTGGAAAAGGGTTCACGGTGGAAGGTTTTTCTGAAACTGCGCCACTCACATGGGATGGGCAGGTAAAAGATGAGCTACAATTGCACACCGTAATATCTGAGGAAGCAACTACGTTTAGGGGACTGGGATGATTTTTAATTTTGCAAGTAACTACTTTGCTATCACAGCACTTAGCTAATGAGTTAACAGCTGGGAATTTATAAATCGGCTCAGAAATTGCTCCGACCGGTAAAACTGCCTGGCTCGGAAAAGATTTAGACTCCTCGCAAGTGTCCTCCTCGCTCTCGAAACTCTTCGTCTTTCTTGAGGCATCCAACTTTTGGTGGCTGCTTCGTTCAGGAAAAATGAATTGAGGCTGGTGGGACTTCTTCCGAACGAGCGGCTGTTTGCCCATTAAGAGATGATTAACAGCCAAAGAGTTACGCCTTGGGATTTGAAAGTGGTTTTGAAAGGCACCTTAAATTTAAAAAAAAGAAGAAAAAAATTGTCAGGCTTTATGAAACAAATGCAGGGGTAGCAGCAAATTTTTTTTAAATTTTAGGGTAATTTTAGGAACTTTTTTCAAAAAAGTTTAGGTAAATTTTAGTGGTAATATATGATTTTGCTAGGATAAAAACAGATCACACGGTAGTTTATTAAATAACAGAAGAATATTACAATTCATCCACACATATCATAAATAATTGCAAGCCATAAAATAAAGCTCTGAAATTTATTAAGTCAAGAATGAAATCTCTAAAGTGTAAAAATGAAATTTCAACTTTACATATTACCTATCAGAAATTAAGTGCATAATTCAGGAACAGGCAAAAGTGAGAATAAATCAAGAGAAAAAATAAATTAACACCAACTTGGATTTTTATTTAATTTTTACCTTCTTAATCAAAACTTTATTATTACCCTTTACCTTACTTTATTAAGAAAAACTATTGTGTGATATTATTAGATTTCAAATCAGCAATTTATATTAGAAATTAGAGAAAACAAATTAATCATGATCATTTTTCTAATATATTCTTGATATGATTTGTGAGATTCTTTTACTGCCCTCAATAGTGTTGTGGTGATCTTCAACACTCCTCCATAATTTCGAATGGTATCTTTGATTAGTCTAAGAGACATAATAGTATTCTCATGGTGACTCACATTAAGTATTGTTTTATTCATCGAAAAACCTCTCTCAGGATCAGAATTCCCATGTGGCAAAATTAAAACAGTTTTAATTAATGTAGTTAAATTGTAATATTTTAAATTATTGCTTTTTTATTTATATTTAGCCTATAACTAATTTTTTAGGAACACCAACAAAATTTTATCATGGTGACTCACATTAAGTATTGCTTTATTTATCGAAAAACCTCTCCCAAGATCAGAATTCCCATGTGGCAAAATTAAAACAGTTTTAATTAAGGTAGTTAAATTCTTATATTTTAGATTATTGCTTTTTTATTTATATTTAGCCTATAACTAATTTTTTAGGAACACCAACAAAATTTTATCAGATTTTTAGGAATTTTAGGGTTTGCACATAGTTTTAGGAATTTTAGGGGGAATGCGACCCCTGCAAATGGCAATGGTTATTAGCAAAACAAGGATGTTGATGATAAATGCATTTGTTTGCATTCAAGGTTTTTCTCCCTCCATACACACATGTTTTTAGAAATTTTTTTTTTGCTATTTTAATTTTTTTTAAATGAATTTTAAATGATATTTTTCAGTTTATGAGCGTTCTGTTGTGAATCAATTTTTGTTCTTTATAAATTGGTGCAAATCTTGCATTGAATGTAATTATTTTAAATATTTTCCAATAGCAAGTGCTTAGGTTGAATTTTTCAAGGTATAAAAATATGCTTTTGAACAATAAGAACAATAACAATTCTCACTATTTTAAGAGTATATAAAATACATTTGATAATATAATGCAATGTCAATGTTCTTAAAGATTGTAACTAAAATTAAATTTTTGAAAATTTATTTTTGTCAGATAATTAACATTTTTTTTTTATAAATTACATATTTATATTAATTATTATCTAAATTTTGCCTTAAATTTAAAAATACAAGTTATGATTTATAATTTAAAAGAATAATATAACACACGTTTTTTTAAAATTAAGGTCATTATTTTACATTCTAAGGTAACATTTGACAATTTTTAGAGACTTTATTTGCATTTTTTAAGAATTTTTAGATCATCAACGGCCTAGCTCTGGTTGTTAGGGTAAGATAAAATGAAAGTTTTTCAAGTGGAATTTTATTAGTTACTAAAAGTTTTTGGTGATAGTTAAATGAGCAAAAATTTAACAAATACCAGTTAGTGTCTTGAGGGAGAACTGCTGTCGAAAAGTTTTAATCAATTTTATTAATCTGAAATTTAACTATTAAGAGATATTTATGTATTATTTATTAAGAACACATTATTATTTATTAAGAACACATTATCAAACCTAGGTCACTCAAATTTCAAAACAATTTAAGGTCAACTTCGGGCAAAGGAAGAAATTTGACTGCAGCAGTCACATTAATGTAAAAAATTTTTGCAATATGTTTAAGAACTCCCCTTTAAAATGGACTCCTAAGATGATCCCCTTTAAAATGCACAATGGATGCAACTCCCCTTTAAAATGGGGATCAAATTTTTTTGCAGAAACTAATCAGTATCTTCTCAGTTTATAAAGATCTATTACTAATAGATTCAGGCAATAAAATTGGTTAAAAGCAGAGAAATTCAGAGAAAAACAAAATGAAACTTTGAAACTGCTGTACCTCCATTTAAATATTAACCAATAGTAAATTTTTATAAACTATTACTAAAAACAAATGTTTGGTAGCTTATTAAAGTCAATGCCCCCACCTAATATTTATTTTTCAATTATACCATATAAACATTTCTTAAAATTTCTTAATTTATATTATAAGGTTCATACTCTAGTGAACAGAGAAAAAAAATGTTCTTTTGGGTCTTCTTTTTTGCCATAACATTTTAACATTAGCACATAGTAATTCTTCTACAGAAATGTAAAAACAATTCCTGATAAAATTTAATGAAAAAATAAAAGAAAATTTAACAATTAATAAAAAATTGTGCATAAAATAACTATTTAATTTTCACCTAAATAATGTTTATATTAAATATAATAAAATTGTAACAATATTTACATTTTATAATTTTAACATAATGTTGATTAACATTTTATTATTGATATGGATACAATTGTAACTTGGGAAAGAATATTTAAAACTTAACAATACGAAAAGCAAGCTAGGCGCAAGTCAGAAAGTCTGTAAGAAAAAAGTTAGAATTAAATATGGGACATTGAGAGAACTAAAAAGTCTGCAATAAGAAAACGTGTAACATTTTAAGAATGTAAAAATCTGTAAGAAAAACTAAGAATAAAACATTATAAAAATTTGAAAATCAAATAAATAAAAAAAAGCTAAGGAGATAATATTTTAATGACTGAAAGCTTAATTAGAAAAAAATTAAGAATAAACACTTTTAGTTATCACATTGCTGCTACTTCAATAAACAGTTTGAGATGTAATAAATCTTAAAATACTACATCAAAAACATTATAAAGTTTCATTAAGCAATTGAGAGATGAATATTATAACCTGAGAGTATAACATGAGCTTGTTTCTGTCTTTCTCTCAACTTCATGTATTGCTTTTTTAAGGAAGAAATATCCAGTGTCATACGTTCTGTGTTGAAATTGTTAAAAGACAGGGGGAAATTGTTTTCTGAAGCGCCATAAGCTCCTGGTCCGACATTACCGATTGCTGCAGAACTTAGAAGACCTGCAAAAGAAAACAAAATTAAGTATACATAAGACATGCATTTCACTGGGTCCGCAAAAGCCATTATTAAAAAAGCAATTCTTATTACTAATAACGGCATTCTACTATCAATGAGAAGTCACATTTTCAAATTTTAATTTCGAAGGAACAAATTATACTTGCATCAAACCTAACCTTTTTGAGGCCATGCCATCTTGTGGATTTTAGGTCAAATTTTTAATTTGCGCTTTCTTGAAAAAAAAAAATTTTTGTACTTAACAAACATTTCATAATGTAGTATTATTAGTCAGCACAAAACCTTTCAAAAATGGTAGAAGGTAATGGAGTTGTTTAAATAGCTTAGAAGAAATAGTGCTTGATAATTTTTAGAACTTCTTTGAATATTTTCTCAAAACTCTAATTCAATAAAATAACGTGATTTGCAATTTTAATTAAATGGTTAAAAACTATACGTTTCTCAGGTTCTAGACATTTTAAAATGTAAGTATATTACAATTTAAACTGAAGAAAACTGATTTAGATGATGCTAAAAAATTCTCCTAACGTTAATTGCGCAAAAATAAAAATACTCACCAAAAATCCTCAACAGGCGACCTTATACTATTTAATTACTAATCAAAAACTATTGATTACAGAATTGCATTGGCATTATTTTGTCAAAAAAAAATTAATAGAGAATCTTAAATATTGCATATCAAATTGTGGTTAGTAATGGCTTTGTATTTTACACAAATTTTGTATTTTACAGGAAAGGAAGAGCCTCTTAAATGCAACAGATAATATGAACTATTCATAGTATGAACTATTCATAGTATGAACTATTCATAGTATGAACTATTCATAATATGAACTATTCATAATGTGAACTATTCATAATGTGAACTATTCATAATGTGAACTATTTCATAATACCATTATGAAATAGTTCACAATAATATTGTTCAACTACAAATTTGATAAGCAATCTGCAAGTACTGAATTCAATAATAAAAACAAAAGCTTTATAAAATAGATTGATTTTCTTCATTACATAACAAAATCAACTTTTTATTTATAAAGCCTCTCTTATTTAATAATATGTGACTGACTTCAGTTTTCATGTTATTTGCATATTAATTAATTTTAAATTTGTGATATTTTAAGAAATGATACCTATTGTGTACCAATTTCATCAGTAATGAAAATACACAATTCATAAAATTACATAAAAATTGGAAGCCTTTTTACCCAACTAACCTAAAAGGAATATAGAATAGAATAAAATAAATGATACATTTCCTTTAATTTCAAATTAGAATATCAGTTTTTGCAGGAAAACATACTCCCTAACATTTGATGTTTTTGGAAAATATTTTTTCCAGTGATAGTAAATTAAAGCACAATTCAAAAATATTGCATTTTTTTAAAAAAAAAATTTAATTTGAAAACATGAAGATTTGTCTAACTGACATTTTATAGATATCTGTTTAAATTTTCAATGTGTAACACTGCACAAAAGTTTTCAGTTTTTTTAAAAATATTATTATTGCCATCCTCTTTAGAACAATATTTTTAATCTTTGGAAATTCCATATTAGTTGAAGTGTATGCAAGGGTGAGTCCAACTCAAAAATCATGAAAATTTCTTGAGTAAAATCATGCATGACGCATTTCAAAAAATTTATGTCTTATAAATTTAAATCATTGATATTTTCAAAACATGAAATTCCAAATAAATTACATGCAGCATAATTTAAATGAATAATTATGTATAAGTTTACTTTTATCTCTAATCACATTTATTATTCTACCAGAAAAAATATTTACGAATGAAAGCGATGCCAAGTATAAATTCTAGTTCTAATATTTTTAAATAAAATATACAAGAATTTTTATACATAAATGGGAACCATGATTTCTTTGAATTTCTGGACCTTGGATTTCCGGAAACTTCCAGATCGTGGTTAGCAAAAAATCCGGAAAACCGGATTTTTTCCGGAGCACAATCATCTCTGGTGTATGAGAAAATATGGTAATAAATAGTATGGTATGGTAATGAAGTATTTAATGCATACCCTTTTTCTTGTACCACTGAAGCTCGTTAGAGAAATACCATTTTGTGGTATTCAAATCCTCATCATCTTCATCACCTTCTCCAGAAAATATTTGCAGTTCAGCATCAGATGAGAGTGAAGATGTGAACGGTTGAATGTTATAAGTATAACTGTCTCTGAGGTCCTGCAGTTGAGGGAAAGGGAACGGGGCAAGAGTGCACATAGTCTAGAAGAAAAAAAAATATTTTCAATTCAGTATCAGATGAGACTGAAGAAGTGAATGATTGTATATTATAACAATCCCTGAGAGCTTGGAGTTGAGGGAAAGGAAATGGGGAGAAGGTCACATAGTCTAGAAAAGATATTTCAAGAATAGAAATATCTTCAGTTTAGCATCAGATGAGAGTAAAGATGTGAATAATTGTACATAGTAAGTATAATTAACCCTAAGGTCTTGCAACTGTCATAAGAATACGAGCATATAGTGATTTTTCCAGGTTTGATGAGGTGACAATGGTTTAAATCAAATGGTAGGATAGCATGGTTTTCATTATTTGATTTTTTAATACAGGTTTAGAAGCTGTGTGGCAATTATTTAAATCAAACCATAAAATTAAAGAATTAAATCAGGATTTTAATTACTTGATATTTTTACAGGGTTAAAAAAATTAAGTGTAAAGAGTTAAAAGAAAGGGGTTAATCATTTAAATCAAATAATAAAATTAGAGATTTATAAATCTCAGACATTTTTCCTTTTTTTTTCCTACATGTTACAGGGGATCAATGATTTAAATCAAATCATAAAAGTAAGACAAAAACATGATTAAGATAAGTAATGAAAAATTGCTCGTATTAAAAAATTTAATGCAAAAATTATTACATATATTGATTACTAACATAAGGACACAGTAATGCTGAAGTTATTGAATAAAATATTGTAGGGTTAATTGATAAAAATATGTAGATTTTTCCTAAATCATGTACAAATTTGGTATAGGTTTTTTTTTTTTACATATATAAATCAAAGCTTTGATAAAATATACTTCTTCTTCTCATTGGCACGACAGCCCAGGATAGGCTCTGGCCTCCTCAACAAGCCTATGCCAATATATTCTTTCCTTAGTCAAGGTTCTCCAGTTTATTATCTTTAAAACTTGTAGGTCCTTTTCAAGGCAGTCTAAAATTCTTAGGTTTGGTCGTCCTCTTTATAAACTATACTCATAATGCTTAATATCATTTAAATATACGTTGTAGGATAAGAATTTACAAAATTATAACTAAAGTAACTTAGTTACAATACTTTAATTACAATATTATAAATAAAGTATAACATTGTAACTAAAGTATTAAGTAAAATATTTCAAACTAAAATGGTTAAAATAATTATTACAAATTAATCACAGAAAATAAATCTTAGTTGTTCCTATTAAAGATCAATACTTTCCTGAATTTGTCAAGATTAAGACCTGATTTGTCAGTTATATATCGAAAAAGAATAAATTAATTTAAACCAGGACACATAAAAAATTATTTTAAATTACTCTTGGCAGAAAAAGTCTTTCTTCATTATAGATAAATGACATGCTTCATAAGTTTTAAATTTGAATTTAAATAAATATAAAACTAAATCTATATAATTAAATATTATTTTTACCACATCTATAAACATATAGTCATACCTATACCTATTTACCATATCTTTATCAAAAAACTTACCTTAACAAACATATCTGCATCCATGAGACCAAACTCTAAAATCTCACGCGTGAGAACACCCATTATGCAATAAAATTCATCTGCACTCTCAACAGCCATGATTCTACTGCAAGATTCAATAAAAATAAAAAATTAATATAAAATAAAACAAGAAAAAGAAGTTTATTTGATGGAAAACATTAATAATTAAAGGAAAGATTTCAGTTGTGCAAGTATCAGTACAATAAAGAAAAAAAAAATTTAATATTATATTCAAGTTAAAACTTCTTAAATTTTATAAGTTGATTGTATTTTAGACAGAAAAGGATTAAGAGTAAAAGGATTAAAATCTTTAATATTAAATAAGATCAAGAAAAAACTAAAAAATTAAAAGCAGCTGTATTAGGGCTGTGCTCCCGAAAAAGAGAAAAAATAGCTGTTGGCTGTAAAAACATTTTGTTTCTAGAAAAGTAATCTGAAAACATTATTTTTAATTTTAAACTCAGAAAAATTGGAAAAAGAGAAAAATTAAAAATATAAATTTCATATCTAAATTTTAAAAGAAATTTATCCATAAAACTATTTAATTTAAACCACGTTTGTCTTTTACTTAAAAAAAAATAATTAATGTAATTAGTTTAAAGTTCTTTAATATTTTTTTAAAGTTTTTTTCTGTATCTGTTGTTTAGGATTTTCAGAATCTGTATTGATTCTGTTTTATTAAAAATAATTTTATTTTTAAAAATGAGTCATATTTGTGACATTTTAAAATATTATTTTTATCAAAAGAAATATTGAAGTATGCAAGTTTTTTTTAGATTAATGAGTTATTTTTCAAACTTTATAATACAAAACAATTTATACAAAGAAACAAAATGTAGTTTTATTTACTGTATTCTATATGAAATATTCATTATTAATATTGCTCCTGAATATTGTTCAATGTTTTTATTAAATTTACAATATTGAATTTTAATTAAATATTTCTTTAAATTAAAATAACTTGTAATTTGTAATAAAAATACATCCTTTAATCAGTAATATGAAACATTTTATAAGTTTTTAGTGATGAGTTTTGCTGATACAAAAAATAATTTAAGAATAAAAAGTGCACCGCAACTGCTTTTATTATAGTTTAATAAATAAAATTTTATTCATCTAATGTTTATTTATATAAAAAATTCTAAATCCATCAAGTATTATTCTACACTTATACCAATCAGGAGTAAAAGATATTTAATGCAAATAAAATTTATAACAATTCATTATTATTTATTTCTATGCTTTCACTTTTTTGCATGTTTTCACTTTTTTATGTGCAAATCAGGCTGATGTTTATAGCATTTAATTTACGAAAAAGACTTTTTTTCTTCAATTGAAAACAATATAATAAATGATGCGCATTTAATTAACAAAATAAATTTTTACGACATAAAAAATTTCTATATTTCGATCTTTGGATTGGCAAGAAAAGATTTACTCGCTTGAAGATTAAAAATAGTTAAATTAGACATTAATTTGCAGGTTGTGATGAGAATTTCAACAAGTAATCTTACTCCTGATTTCAATAACAACAAATAGAAAAATGTGTAATAGAATACACTTGTCTTATTAAACTTATTCCAAAATTAAATGCGTTTGAAGCTATTAGAGATATAGAAATAGCACAAAAATTTTTATAAATGTATCATTGAATTTAGTTGATTTTTATGATACAATTTATACCATTTCTGAAATGCAAGGTTAACTACTCATCTTTTTAAAATGTGTGCTCCCATCACCCACCACTGGGCTAAAGAAGTAAGAAATCAATACTTTTACTCTGAATATTTAATACATACTATTTAAACAAATATGATAACTTATAGACTAAAATAAGGTGATAACTTATAGAATAGTAGGTTAACTTATAGAATAATATGATAACTTATAGAAAAACAGATAATTCGCAGTATGATTTATTTAAATAATCAGAAATAAAACTAATATTCAAAGTGGCGATTTCTGTTATCGCCTAAACAGAGGTTTAACGGTTATGAATAAAAAATTTTAAAAAATTGAACCTTACTCAGCTAATCCATCCCAAATGGCTAGAGCAGCTCTCAATAGTACTTCATTGCCTTCCAGGAAAATCAAATCCCAGACCCGCAGTACAGTATCTTTTGGAAGGCAGGTTGTAAATAAGGTCAGAAACCATTGCATTGTAAAGACATTGGTAAGTGGAGGCTCATAAATATGTCCTAAAATATATCAGACATTTTACATTTATTGAAATAAATTTTGCAAACATTTTAGAATTAAAACAAGAAACATTTTAAAAATAAATACAAATAATCGATTTTTTTTACCTAAAGTGTTAGGTAATAAAAGAAAGAATTTTTAAAATTACTGAATAATTATGGAGCTTTAAATGTTTTTAAAGTTGATTATATTACTTTTGGAAACTAATTGTATAGATATTTAAATGTATATGATTATGAAATTAAAAATTAGTTAACTTGTAACAGCATGGAATTATTTTGCTGTTTTTATGTCCTCTGTAAACCAATTTAGTTGAAAATTGCATAAAAAAATGATATAAGAAATATAGTTAATAATGTAGGACAAAAAATAATTTATCGATCACCTAGCATTAAAATAACTTCTTAATATATAAAACGGCAGACTCCTTAGTTCACAAATTAATTTTCCTTATTTGAAGGGAATTCAAGAAGTTAAATGTGTAGCCCAAAAGCAAAATTTACAAAGTCAAGTCAATCTGTAACACTTTTTGTTCAAGGTTATACAGACTAAGGCTGTAGATTTCGCCGTTTTTAGCAAGTTTTCATATCATTATTTAATATATGAAAGTCCGTTGAGTCAAATACAAATTTGTCTGTGACTTCAATGCAATCAGACAGAGATTATTCTTGCAAAAGTTTAGCATACTGAATCATATATTTGCCACAATTTGAAAATATTAAATTAACATAATAAAGTTATACACACGAACTTTACGCTATTAAGTTTATTTGAATTTTATAAAATCATAATTTAGCTTTATCTAAAGGGAGAAAAACAGATGCATATACTACAGCCAATAAAGAAATAAAAAAGAAAGGGAAAGGTTTAATTTGCAGATGATATTATTAAAAAAAAAACTTTTATTTTAAAAGAAAGAAATTAACAGAATTGTAATTTATGTTGCTCTGATTTATGTTTATCTAAAGTTTCATCATATGAAATTCCTCTTGTCATTTGTCTGCGAAGTAATCATTTAAAAAAAAAAATAGGGGAAAAAAAGATTTATTTTAACAAGTGAATATAGAAAAAACTTTCTTTTAATTTCATCGTTAATTGTTTTTGTTACAATATCACATATCAATAGTCAACTTTTCAAACCCCCAAAATGTTGCAAAACTTATGGGTCAACATATAAAAAATCTGGACATTCATAGATCATGAAATTTTGATGTAGTAAAAACAAAGAGCTAGATATGAATTACTTTGTATGAATTGACGCCTTCCAAAAACCATTTTTAATATGTTATTTAAAATTAATTTTGTATTTTCTTTCCTTGTATTTTTAGATATAAAGTTTTTTAAATAAAAAAACTAAACTACGTTCATAAAAAAAATTAAGAATAAGAAAAGTTAAGATAACTAAGTGAGGAAAATTTTACAAAATATAAGGAATCAAAACTTTTAAAACATACCATAAAACTACTAATTTAAAGATTGCAGAATATCATCCAAATCAGATTCAATAATCTTAAACAGTGTTGTCATATGGATCTAGCTTTGCAATGGATTCGACTTCATACTCATCTTAATTATTACTAAATAAATGAATTTTTTTATGTTTCTTAACTTCAGAAAATTTCCTGTTTGGCTTCTTTAGTAATCGACAAATATAACGACTAATATAAGAAATTCACTAACTCTTAATAAAAAATAGGGGCCGACTTATACACTGGGATGCAAATAGTATTAAATCCCCTTTTTTGAAACTTTTCAATGACTCATTGTCAATGACTATCAAATGACTCACTGTTAATGGAAGTATCCTTGTTTTAAGTTCAAAATCATTTAACGGTTGTTTTTGAAGTGATTTTTTTAGTAATGAAATAAAAACAAATTAAATTAAACTTTGGACACCTTATTAGAATGAATTTGCTGAACTTGGAAATCAGATTGAACTTTCTATTAAAAATATCTTGGCACCTATTAAATAGCAAACAGGATTCTATGATTGGGTCATTACGCTGAGAAGTTGTTCTGAAGAGTATGGCACTGTATTTATTCAGATGTTCTGAACGAATTTAGTAAATCATAATTAAAACCAATTGTAATTGTATTTTAAACAAACCTGTGCATGAATCCTGGGTATTTGACTGCAGTCTATCTAAATGAGCAGATAAGCTAGACAGGCGTAGGCGGAGAAGGTCTCTAAAGACAGCCATGTCAACAGATAAACCACGCAAATGATTAGCAAAATAACTTTCTGGCAATACTTCTTCAATCAGAAATATCATAACCTGAAATATATTTAATAAACATAAATAACACACTCAAAATTTACATTTATTTTTAGTGCAGAGTAAATTTTATAACAAAGAGTCGAAGAATTTCTTTCCAAGAACTCTCTACAAGGTAGTGAACAACGCTTTCGAAGAACTCAAACATGTTGTGACAAAAACGGAGAACTTATTAATGATATTACTGAAATACTAAGTAGATGGAGACAACACTTCAAAACGGCTCTTGAAAAAAAAAGATAATTAAGAGGTAACAGAGGAAGATATAAATAGGACCCCACAATTAGGGACTTGAACCACCTTCCCTTGATGAAGTTGAAAGAGCAATAAATAAACAAAATAACAACAGTTCCGCAGGACCAGATGGCGTCAATGCCAAGCTCCTGAACACAAAGAAGCCGAAACTCATCAAAGAAAACACGCCATTATAGCCCAAGTATGGACAGTGGAAAAAATGCCCACTGAATGGGAAGATGGTTCCATCTGTCCAATATTCATGAAAGGAGACAAACTGGACTGTAAGAACTATAGAGGAATCACTCATACAAGATACTGACAAACATCCTGGCAGAATTATTTGTTACTTATACTAGCAGAGTAATTGGGAAATACCAGTGTGGATTTTAAAAAGGCAGATTGGCGACAGATCATTACACTAGACAAATACTTGAGAAGACCAGAAAATATAACATAAATACCTTTCATCTCTTCTTAGACTTTAGAACAGCTTACGAAAGCATCAATAGTGAAGCAGAGGGGCGCCCCAAAGAAGTTTTTGCCCTGGGCCCCAATTAGGCTAAGTCAGGACCTGCTTATTATTAGTTAATAACATGGTTAAAAAAAATTAGGCATGTAGGAATTATAGGTGTAGAAATAAAAAATTAAGTTGCCCTAATTTATAAGGTAAGAATTTTACTAACTTGATTTAAAACATAAAAATATATAGTTTCTTTCATGAAAGAGTTTTTAAAAAGGATTGCTTCTAAGTTCTCCCTAGGAATAAAAAAAGTCAAGGCGCCTCCTCTCAGAAAACACTCTTAGTTTTGAAAGGGCACTCACTTAACACTGTAAAAATTTATCAAAATGTGTAATATTATGTAATAACTGAATTTTATCCTCAACAGTTTTTAAATTACCCTCTAATACTATTTAATGTGTATGCTTAAAAGTAATTATAAACAATAAATTCAGTACCGAATAATAGAGATCTACTTAGATTAGGTAGTCAATTTACCCGGATGGTCACTTGACAGGTTTTACTAAAACAAGGTTTGACTCTACATACATAAAATTTAACTTTGCACTTAAAATTTAAAACGAAAAAAAAAATCAGCATTGAATTTCCTTTTTAAAAACATGGATATCACATATTATTAAAACTAAAAGAGAAAGTTACAGAACTTATTTTATTAATGCAGAACAAAAAGAGAACTAACTAAAAGAGCATCCTCTTCTTTCCATTCAACAACTTCTAGAATAATAGCTGCTAGCATATTAAAACCTTGACAATAACCTACGCTAGGATTCCATTTTGCATACGCTAGAAGAACACGTTTTAAGTGAGTTTGGTTTTGTTGAGCTACTTCACCACTAAAAGGACTGCAACCAGTTCGATGAAGATCCTGAAACGAAATATAATGAAAAATGCTTTTAAAAAGTTTTTATAGAAACAATTTCACTTACACACATCAAATATGCCAAAAATAAAATTGGAAAGGGGATGCAAAAACATTTTACAATGCAATTTCAGAACTTGTTAATCTCTGTCACAAAAATTATATATATAACGTTGTTGCCGAGTGGAAGGATAAAAACAGATCTTAGGTAGGGAAAGAGGGTATAAAATTTATTTACTAATTACTATAGAGTGAGAGCAGCTGTAAAAGTCTACACGAACTCGCTGTGCTCTTTAATATAAATTAGGGAAAATCTTGCAAAGAAAATCTGTAAAATGTCTCGTTTTAGGGAAAAAGGGGAAATCTTAGTTATAGTAATTGGTTTATCAAATAGGTCGTGCGATTCCCACAAAGAGCAAAATGTTACTTTTAATTATTGGATACTTGAGCCAAAAATAAATTAAAGGACAGGATGTAAATTTAAAAGAGTGAGAAAGCGCTTCGTTTTGAATAATAAATTAAGAAAAGGATTTACAGAAAAGGAATAACATAGAAAGATTAATTTAAGGTTTCTGCGTTACACACACACTCATATATATATAATGCATCCTTAGATTCATGTAGGTAAAATTAAATGTAGCTTTTTTTTACTGTGTTAAAAACAGAAGGTGAAATTGACAGCTATAAACTTAAACTGAAAAAAAAGGTACTTTCTAGGGGGAAAAAAATAAGGCAAATATTTTCATTTTATTCATTTAAATCCACACACTAGAGCTACAAAATTGACTATCGATAATGTGTACCCTCAGCCCCTTCACAGGCTAATAAATATATGTAAGGACCGTGGGAACCCTGTGAAATGACCTTCTTAACAGATAATCTGAAAAAGAATGAAATGATTCGTTAGAGTACCTTAATTATTTGAGTTCCAAGTTCACTTTCATCTGGATCACATTTCTCACCTAAGCAAACAGAAAATGCTTTCTCTAAAAGAGCAGATTTACCTTCTAAATGTCTTTTAGCAAGACTCAACCACAACTGCAAAGAAAGAAGGATAGTTTCATTCTATAGTTATATACAATAACAAAGATTAACTCACACCATTTATGAATGCCATAAGTGCAGATTTTTAAATGCATATAACATAGTTGAAAGAAGAAAAAAAATCTTATAACTCTAATAATTTTTGTTAAATTAACTCATTGTGTAATTTACATATACTTCAATTTTCATAATATTTAAAATTTATTATAAGTTAAAAACATTGCTGTTACATTCATAACATATTGTGTTACATCCAGGAAACTTTGCTTTCAGTTTAAAAAAAAATTAAATTCATATAAATTATTAAAAACAGTATTTTAACAAAAATTATCATAGCTGCTTGAGTTTTTTTAAAACTGAGTTAAATGTCTACAAATATGTTATTCGTAAATGGTAGAATTGCTCAAAAGTTTTTTTTTTCTAATTGACAAATTGAAATAAATAATTCAAAGTTGAGTACAGAAAATCTTCTAGTGGAAAATGAAACCTAGTGGAACAGAAAAAATCCACCTTAATACAAAAAAATAAATAAATAAAATTCATAATACAAAAGTAATTAATTTTTATAATCAATAATGCAGGGGTGTACAACTTAATGGTCAATGTGCGGTCTTTGAACGGTCAATGTGTCGTCCTTGAATTACAGCTAAAACTTAAGAAAAACTTATAACTTACAAAGTGTAAAAAATTCTAATTCCAAAGTGTAGTGGTACTAAGTCAAAAATTTTAAATCTTTTCCCATTTCAACATTTACTAAAAAAAAATCTTAACCATAAGACCTGTCCAACAATTGTAACTTAAATATTTATTTAACAATCAAAGATGTAGGCAATTTACATATAGTAAAAAATAAAATTTATCCCAGAAAAAGATAAAAACCTTCTATGATAAAGCTTTGGATCCTAAAAGTATTATGAAAAAGTTTGCACTGAAAATAAAAAGTTTCATGACATTAATACTATGATGTCACACAAAAAAATATATTTTAATTACATAATTTAGAAGTTTTTTCTTTTTCGTAAAATAATATGTAGTATTAAGAAGAATACGTGTTACAGATAAAATGAGCAGTGCCTGTATTTATTTTTCACTGCTGATGTCATAATAGATTCATTTAACACAAATTTTAAAATAAATAACAGATCTATAACCTGTCTTCTGAAATCAGGTGGAATGCCATCTGGTAAGCGAGCAACCATTTTCATAGCATCTTTCCATAATACGAAGCTGGAATTATCAAGGGAAGCCTTTAATTTTAAATCTTGACTAGAGCCTGTTTTAAAGAAGAAGAAAAAATGTCTTATATTACATGGTAAAAAAAAGCATAAAAATGACACATATTTTTAAATATAAATATTATAAAACAAAACTTATACAATGGGTATGCCAACAAAGAAATTTCACTATTATTCTTCTCGGGTGGTTTTAAAATAATCACTAGCTATTATTGATGCCAATCAAACAAACATTAATTAATAGTAGAAATAGATCTTACTGGTATATGATACTTATAAAGATACTGTGGCAATGTTTGTTTTTTTAATGCTGCCATCCAAATAGAATAGTACAGAAATTTTTTAAAATAATCTACATAGTGAGGTACACAGTGATCTGAGTATATTAGGGTCATGGCTAATTCAGAATTCTAAAAGCAAAATCACATAGTTTCTTTTTTTTAGTTAGTTGTTTTTTTTAACTTATTCAATATTTAATATAGTTAAAGCAGCTGGCAATTCTGCCATTTACAATTGCTTTATTGGCTAACTTTAAATGCACCTAATTCAGATATATATATATCAAGCATTTCTAATAATATTTGTTAAAATAACATTTGGCATCATTTACACTTTCTACAATTTTTAGAAACTTTCATACGTTTAAAAATAGAAAACTGAGTATTATGGACATAATATAGTATGTTCGGATCATAATAGCCAAATTTTAATTTTTAAAAATTATGAAAAATTTGAGTAAGTATAAAAGGCACCAAGAGTTATTTCAACAAAAATTATCAAAACTGCTAATTTTCTGTATTTTGAGATTGATGCATTTCAAAATATGCTTTTCTTTTCTAAATTACACAATACATAAAGACATTGTACAAACAATTCATGAAATTTGTTTTTCCTTTGTATGAATTGCTACTTTTTGCAACTGGAATATCTAATATAATTACTAAAATTTGTTCCTCATATATACTTCTGCAAATATTGTAAAGCAAGAAACACTTGACATCATTAAAAGTCAGACATCATTGATTATAAATATAACCACAATGCCGTTACTATAACCAGGGGTCTGTTTAGAAGAAATTTGGGTCCGTTAACGGACCCTTCACAAAATATCTTTTCATAAAAACGGACCCTTCACAAAATATTTTAACTTAAAATCGGACCCTTCACAAATTTGATTATCTTCATTATTGTTTTGTTAATCGAATAAACTTTTCCAAGGAAAGGGGTGGGGAGAAAGACAGATGTAAACGAACTAAATTTTGTCTTCAGCAGATGCTTCTTCCTTTATTCGTTCAAAATGAATATTCCACGTTCAGCAGTATTGGCTAAGTACCAAATATTTGTAAGTTGCATCGCTAATTTAGTAGCTGCAATTGCTGTTTATTTTTTAAAATTTGATTTTTTTAATTATAGTTTTACAGTGTTGAGCATAATCTTGTATGTCTTTACAATTTAAAAACTCNACGTTGAAGATATGAAAGGGTTTTCCTCTCCAAAAAATCACAATGCCTAGGATTTCAAGGTCCGAAGTGAAAGAATGTGACTTAACGTTTATTTTATATTCACAAATTACGAGTAATTTTTTCACAATTTTACAAAAACGGACCTCTTACAAAATGTCTGGACAGACCCCTGATAACAGAATTATGAAAAACAAAAAAAAGCAAACCATTAAAAAAAAAAAAACAGAACAAACCATCCATGCCGAAAAAATGGCGTAAGATGTTTGAGAATTGATGTATAAGATAAGATGATGTGTTTACATTATAGTAATGAGAGGTATACATTTTTTAAATGATTGAAATCCTATATTAAAATAAGAAAAATAAAATCAGAAAAAGAAGAAGTTTCAATTTTGCTTGTAATTAAAAACTTTGGGTGGATCCTAGAATAGCCCACTCCTGGCGATTTTTTTAAATCTTGCCAAACTAGGTTTCCGGAAGATATTTCGGGGAGATTATTTTGAACATCCGATCACACACCCAAAATTCTTAAACCTGATTGGTTATTTCACATGTGTACCTATGCAAAAGTTAGATTTTGTTAGAAAAGAGGTAAAAGGGTTTATTTTTTTGTTATTATCTTATTTTTTACCAGTTATCTAATTTATTACTGTCATTATTTCATTTTGGAATTTTTTCCCCATGTGGTACCGGTTGAAAATGGCAAGCAAATGGATGAATGAATTTTTAACTTTATTGAATGCAAAAGGTAAGAAAGTGATGATTGAATTTCGCAAAACTCAAAATTTAATTTCAAAAACAAAGGAATGCACTAAATGAAGAGAACAATTGAGTTTGATTGAGCGAAAGGATAGGGAGGATGGTTTTGAATGGAGATGTCGAAAGCGTGGATTGAATGTGTTTGCGCATGATGCTTGTCGGAGTGTTAGGAAAGCCTAGTATTTTATCAAAACTTTTCTTAAATTCAATCTATTGCAATGAGACTTTTCAAATTTCATACACAATCGAAATTCGACAACTTTTAAAAATAGTTATTTATGTAAGTAATTGAGAGAAGACATAATAAGAAAACGGTTATTAACTTAAAAGGTTTCTCCAAAAACAAGATGAATAAATAGTAATACACTTTTCAGAATTGAGTTATAACTATGACTCTCACCATATTACTATAATTATACTGCGATATTATAATATTAAACATTTAAGCAACTTAAGATAATTACTAGAGGCAATTTATAAGCGAAAGGGAAGTAAAAGAAAATTTCTTAATCCAATTTAGAACATATTTTCTGATAAACCGGTTAGTAGACTGACTTAAATATAAATACTGAATTCGAATTTAGATCTTTTAATTCTAATTTAAGTGAATTAACAGCAAACTTTTAAGCAAAATTATATAAAAAACTAAACTGGACCTTTATAACTTATTTTGCAATCGCTATCGTTACTGGAAGCGAAATCAGGATTTTTTGGATTAATCGAAAGGTTTTTTAAGGCAGACGTTAATAAGTTAGTCATAATTTATACAGATGAATAGTATTCAACAACTATAGTTAAGCTGTAATAATAAATAAGTCCGTAAAAGAAATTCGCAATGCAAGCAGACATTAAGCATTTAGTGAAGGTTTGTTTTCGTTTGAACAAGTGTTGGCGGAAGTAGTGAGAGTACAGGTGTTATTAGAAGAAAAACTGCATACAGCTTTCATATACATAAGTATTAGAAAGTTAAAGATAACTCAACTTCTCTAAAGCAACAAGTAAGCTATACGCTGGAAATTAAACCACCTAGTACCAATGATGTTCACTGTTCAAAAATTGAAAACTTTAAACTGTTGAAATTAATAATGTAAGGCCAATGAGTGCAAGGCATTTTACATTTGAAAAGTTTTTTCAAAATATAGTAAATAAAAAGGTTCATTTTTAAAATGATATTGCTGTTGTAGTTCATTTACGTCGCATTAGAGCTGCATAATGGGCTATTGGCGACGGTTTGGGAGATATCCCTGAGGATGATCTGAAGTAGTGACGTAGATTTTCGCCTAAGATTAGAAGGAAGTGAAGGTCCTATCTTCCCGGTGGCAACGAAATTCCAAGAACTTACCCTCTTTCAGGTTTACCTTAGTCGAGTGGTTTATCTCATTATTGGCGAATCTTTAGTGAGCGCAAAAATCTGAAATTTCATGCCCTGTCNGCCAGTGATGCTTGACTTTGGTGATCTGCTGGGAACCGTTTCTTAACGATCAGTCTACTACGAGAATATTTTTAAAATGAAGAAAAATGCTTAGAAACAAACCTATAATGGCGATCGTAACGCTCGAATGCGCCATCTGGGGAGAAGATCGGTTCCATGCCTTGGGCTCTCCCCCCTTCTCACTCCTCCTCTTTTCAGTTGTATAGGAATGTACCACGATATTTTTCCTTTTCTTAATATTTTTTGCATTTAATTGTTAAAAATATTTTTTTAAATTTCCGTGACACTTTCTTTTAAAGCTATGCTTATTGTAGTTTACAGTTTATCTATTCAAAAATCAAGACAGAAACTAACGTACCTCCGTCTTCTATGACTCTCTACACGCTAATGGCACATTTCTTTCGAGTGAGTATTATAAATGTAATAACATAATGGGTATATTTTTCATTAAATGAAAAAAAAAAGAACTTACTTAGGAATGGAAAAAATAATAATTTTAAGTAAAGGATGATTTTATTTACGTTACAACATTGTAAAACAAATAAAAGGAAATGGTTTTCATTAAATATATTTTTTAAATACTGACCATGTTCGGGATTCAAACCCCAGACCCATGGGACTAGACTAGCAATTTGTTATCTCCTCGAACCCTACCGGTTCGACTTATAATTTCTATTATTAATTTTCCATGATTTCTTTAATGCAACCATATTGGGCCACAACCACTAATTTGTAACTGAGCCACATTGTAGGTCCCCTCATTTGATCGCGATAATTTCCTTTGGTATGGTACTATACTATGTTACAATATAATATCTGACCGAGTTTGAAAATTATAGGTTAATATTAAGGGGGATATGGGGCCTCATAATGTATAGTATATGAGCAACAGTTTCCTAATTTTAATGCTTTTATTACCTAAGCACTTAAAAAAATTATATTAAGTAAATGAATATTCAATTTATTTTACAATAACGTAAAAAAATTAATAAAAAATTACTACAATTTAATATAATTTTAAAAATTGGCCACTACCGGGTTTCGTGTCTGTGACCTCCGGGACTAGTAATTTGTTGCTTCTTACCACTAAGCTCTTCCGGTTAAGCTGATTAATTATAACAAGCTTAAGTAATTTCTGCGGTTTGTCAATATAACCATATTTGGTCACATTTTGAGACGCCTGATTTCTCTTTATTTCCTTTGTATGGCAGTATAGTATGTTACAATTTAACCGAGTTTGAGAATTATAGATAAATAGTAACTCCTATCTACTCCAACTCTAGGGGGCCGTTCAAAAAGTACGTATACAAAAATGTAGAAATTTTAACCCCCTCCCCCTTCGTACATTACCGTACATAAGGTCTTACTCCACCCACTTAGAGTACGTACATTTTATTAGTCTACTCCCCTTTTTCTTAAAAATTAAAATAATTACGTTTTAAATAAAATTAAATATTTATTTAAAATAATTTATTCATTTAAATTAAAGTAAAACAATAACACCCAACTTTATCTTTGAATTAATAAATAAAACAATCTTATCTGATTAACATAATAATTTCCTACAGTCAATCTACAGTATTTTCCCAAGGATTTTCCAAATGCTTCTCGAGAGACATCAATTCAGCTTTACTCTTGTCTGCGACAGATGAAAAATTTAGATTATCTTCATCAACGAGATCATTTTCGATCCACTCTGCATCATCTTCGTTTTCCTGGTTTCGGAGGAAAACCAAAAGTTCTTTCTGTCAACGAGCTGCTACACGAACTGGTCTTACTTTGTTGATTTGCAAAGAAGATTTGCATATTTTCTTGTGATCCTTCAAACAAGTTAAAGATGCAAAATATGTACCACAAGTAGGACAAATTTTGCGTTTAATATCACCTTCTACCGATGGGCATGCTGCATCGTATGGTATTTCTGTGATGGAGTTCAAACCTATTTTTTGATTAACAGCAGCTTTTACAATTGGCTCCAACGTTTGAGATAAAAATGATGATGGGAAAGTTCCTCGTGGTTGATTAATATCAAGTCCATCATCAGTTTGTGCTATGGGCACAGGCGCTGATAAAAATCTGTTAGGCACAAGCTTAAGAATTGAACTCCGAAATTTAGAACAACAGGATTCATCGTTACACTTAACGATTTGCAGTAGATATTGGCTGTTTCTCACGTGCTTAGCTTGCCAAGTCAGATCTTTTTCTCGAATTTGTGAAGAACACAGTTCTGAGTTTTCCGGGTGAATGTATTCACTCATAACTGGAAACTTGTCAATTTCTACATCGGACCATATTTCCGCTAATACCTTTCCTGCTTCTGCAAAATTTTTCTCCTCGAGAACTTTATCAATCGTTTCACCTCCATTGTTTAGATGACTACCAAAATGATCGTGAGGAAGAATCACGCCACTCTACTCATGCGTCTTTCGACTCGATTGTACGCGCTTCTTCCACGAGCAATACTAGCTATAAATAATGCGTCGAGGTTCTTCGTTATGAAATGATGGATAGCAGTTTGGATGACTTTAATGTACCGTGGGTTTTCATCGGAACCTCCGTCTACAGTGAAGATCCCCACAGGTTTGACTGAATCATCATTTCGTTTTAAAGATCCAGTAAAAGCAGGCAGTTCGAAAATATGCTCAATATCTGCTGCATGCGAATAGGCAGTCGATGATGAATTCTTAGCAGATCTCATAGTTATATAAGTCGGTCCCGAGTATGAGAGTATTTTGCGAGACAACTTTTTTTGAGAACTGATTTACTCATTCTAACAAGTGGTCGCCGTGTGAAAAAAGTACAAGAACAAACATATGTATAATACATGTGTAGAAAAAAGTCAAATTTAAATTTGGTGTATGCTTATAATGTACGTACTTCGTATAATACCTCCCCCCCTTCCCGTCGTACAAAACCGTACAAAATAGCAAATCCCCTCCCCCCCTCTTCGGGATGTACGTACTTTTTGAACGGCCCCATATGACAGAAAGGGACCAACTCGAAAGGTATAACTCACCGTCAACATCGGGCAAACCACTATAGGTTTCTTTTTATTATTAATTTTAGGAAGTTAAAATACTGTTTAGAGCAGAGGTCGCCAAAGTGGTCTATATAGACCCCCAGGGGTCTATTTAACGAAAGCGGGGGTCGATCTGTACCAGGGGGTCGAATGGGGGTCGATCCGAATCGGTAGGTACGATTGGGGGTCGAAGAAAAAGTCGTTCTTAATACGCAAATCACACATAGTACCTAATTGAGTATGTAAAAGTTGTGAATTTTTTTATAATTGACTTAATATCAGTTTCTTTATAGAACATAAATTAATAAACGTATATTTATTCGGGTGAAACAAGTATTTGCATACCAGCGTGCAGTGGCACGAGCTCATTGCTACGTAAGGATTATCAGTATTTTTCAAATCTGCGACAATTAGAAATAAAAGAAGAAGACTTGAAAATATATACAGATCATCTTCAAAAAATTGAGAGACGATTTTAAACTGCGCTTTGTTGATTTGGAAAACATTGACATCCCTGTTTGGATTATTGTGCCATTTTCTGCTCAAATTGCAAACGTGGACATTAACCTGCAAGATGAGCTTGCTGAATTATTATCGGATCTTGAAGCAAAGACGCTTTTTAAAAATTTAACAATAAGCAAATTTTGGACATAAATAAATAGAATGCAAAAGTATGTAAAACTTTACGAAATAGCTCAACCATTTATGCTAGCATTTCCAAGTTCCTATGTGGTTGAAGCCGGTTTCAGTCAC